CCCTCTCCAAATGCAGCAGTGAATCCCTTTATTAATACTGGAAATCCCTCACTGCTGCTTTTGTTGGTGCTGCCCACACTGCAGATATTAAGGATGTTAGGAGAGATTTGATTTAATTGACTCTGCCTAGATCGGTCTCATTAAACAGAGTGGAGATTTCATTGGTCAGCACTCCTCAATGAAAGACAGACCTAATGACTGGCATTTGAGATGCTGCTGGCATTTTGAATTCAACATCTGCTGAAAACGGTAAAACTAATTAGTGGCCACCCACCCTCCCCGCCCCAGCAACTGCATATTGAAATTTGTTAAAGCACTCATCTTTATGGAAATTAATCATTATCCTAAAGAAGTGTTTCTCTCCCATCATCCGGATTTCTGGTTGTGGCCCAGCAATTAACAAAAACAGCATTCAACTGTTCGAATTTTTTGAACCAATGTAACTCTGGCCTCAATCATATTCCTCTGGGATTTCTAAACAACAGTTAAGCTACAAAAAGCAAACAAAATCACACATATTGATGGAGTCTGCATTCCACCACATATCCACCCTTGAGAAGTATGTCAAGAGACTGCAGACTATAGATTTTTTAAAAATATAGGATTATAAATCAGCTACTGAAAGACCCTAGAGCAGTTGTAAGTAGATCTGCCATCTAGAACTCATATTCTAAAGGGAAGTGATTTCCCAGAACAGTAATGTTCTGGAATATGTATTATTTATTTTAACACTTTTTTAATAAAATCTTTATTATAAACCATGACTATTCCTAAGGACATTCATCATTTTCTCTCTTGATTCTTTTGTTTGTGGACTGCATTTCATGACAGTAAACCTGCAACCTACTCCCCTCTGACAGATATTATGGGTTGTTTTCTATTTATTAATTTCTCACAGGATGGCTTTATTCTTTTTACAGAAAGTACAACGGGGTTCTCGGTAAGCAATCAACAGATTTACCTGTGATGGAAAAATTAGGGGAGAAGAGGCATACATTCGACAATGTTATGACCTTTAGAAAGAAAAGAAAAAATGACAGGTGTAGAAACAATATCTTTGGTGGAAGGTGACATTTAATGACAGATATCTAGTGAGGTATATTAGTAATTTTGAAACTGATACATGACTAATCTAGGTCAGGAAACTAGAATTTCTCATAGAAGGTGTGCACAGAGACAAGAACTTTTCTTCATTTTCATTGAAAATAAATTACAATATAGAAACCAAGGTTAAAGGGGTAAAAGTGTTTTTAAATAGTAGCTTCAATGGTTTTGGAGTATTCATTGTGCGCCACGCATGTGCTCAGCGATTTATGTAATTATTTAATCTCCACAACCACAGGGCAGTTTAGTAAGATACTATTTCCATTATACAGATGAGAAAATTGAGGCTTAAGAAAAGTCAGCAGTAACTCTGGTCATACATGGTAAATAGCGGAGTGGAATTTAAATTCAATTTTCCTTGTACTCAAAGACCTTATATTTTGAGTGAGTAATCATATACATTTACCTGATCAAGTTCTTAAGGCAATCTTAAAAAAAATAAGCATTTATGAAAATACTGTATAACTAATTATGGACTCAGTTTGTATGTTCATACCCAAATATGTATTGGTGGCCCTTTATATTTCCAGTATTTCTTGCAGCAACAGAAATTTGCCCTTCATTCAGTGGCGATAACTTCAGTGTGTTCTCCAAGAGTAGTATATAAGAAGACATAGCACATAAGAGAAAAGATGAGTCTGCTAAATGAGTTCAAAATTACAGATATTCAGATGATTGAAACTAAATCATCTATATATTGACTCTAAGAATATTTTAATAAATAATATTAATGTTAAAAATCTATGTACAAAAGATATCCAATAATTTCATGTATAAGAACATTTTTTATTTAATCTGGCAGGGTTTTATTCATTTTGATAAAATATCTCTGTAACAATTATGTAATTAATATACATCAGTTTTATACACGTATATGTTAGTCTATAGGATACATAATGCATTTGGTCACACCATGTAACTTTCATTTTAAAATACTTAGTATCTTCTCTTTGTTTTGTCTTTGCATCAAATGCTCATGTAACTATAGTTATCATGTGCATTAGTTGAGATATCTTGTTTCTAGTTAAATCATTCTTTAGTTCATTAAAGTAAAAGAGATTTTAGTTGTGCCCAATGTAAAAGGAGAAAAGAAGGATCTTGTTTAGTTACATTACCTTAGAGAAATTAGTAGCTTCTGTGGCTGCTGCTATAACTAAGAATATGCTAGAATTTAAGTTGTTGCCATAGAAATTTATTGTTTAACCATTTTTACATGCTTACCCAAGAGGAGACTGAAATAGCTAATATAACATTAACATAACAAGATTCTTTGTCTTAACAGTATTTATATCATATGTACTTAGAATTGTTGGAAATTTTGATAAGTGTTAAAGTTATATTGGTGATTATAAAGACAGTTTGTTAATTTAGCTGTTTCATATTTCTAATGTTATTTAGTAGGTAGAAAGAGGTAGATGAATTTGCAAGGGTGAACAAGGAAGTTCTGTTTATAATGTGTTAGTGTAATATTCAAAATAGTGGTTTCTAATTCAGCAGTCCTGCTAACTAATTTATAAATCTCATTTTTATTTGTATGCTTATTTAAAGAAAAATGGAAATATAAAATGTGCTAAATATTTAATTTTAGCATGTATTAACTTTTGATTCATTTTCTCTATTATTGAAGTCTAGTCATTTAATCTAAGAGATGAACTCTGCACGATATCAACAGATATAGCACATGCATACTCAAGATTTTTAAGTTATATGATTTGCTTTGACATGGCCCTGAACTATAAAGAGGGCTAAATTAAATACCTTTCTTATAATCCCTGTCATTTTCTTTTATCTGTAGTGTTACTAAGATATTATTATAACATGAAGACGTACAAGATTTTCTTCTTGGCATTGAAAAGAAATGCTACTAAGTGGTTTCACGAAGTCATCTATTAATAACAAATTTTGAAACCTGAGCTAAATTTGTTGTGACCTATTACAATTTGTTATAACCTACCAAATTTCGATCAGATTTCAGAAAAAAATTGAATAGTTAAGGTAATAACAAATTAAGTGTTTAAAAACTGCAGTTTTAAAATGAAATAAACCACTGAAGATATCGTCTTTGATGATCAAGCCCAGTATAACCCTTTCCCTCAACTGACTAGCAATTTAACTTTATTGGCTTAGACCTCAATAGGCAATTAATTACTCTTTTTCCACTTACCTGCTAAATATATATTATGTTACACTTGAAATATAATTATATTTTATACTTGAACTTCACACAAAGGTTATTGGAGAATTATCTAATAGTTTGAAGACTTTTGAATGTGTTAGACATAAATATTCAATTGGCAACATTAATTGGGCACTTGCCACATAAAAAATATTATAGAAGCTCTCTTGGGAAAATAAAATAAGGCAATTCAAACCTCAAGTAGTTTATGCCCTACAAAGGTGAGATATATACATCATTGGAATTATAGAACAGCGCATAACTGGCAGTGTTTAAAGAATGCCGCTAGAACATTTTGTGTTTCTTTCAAGTAAATTAGGTTTTAAATCATTTGAAATATGTAATCATTACATCAGCTTTATTAGTTAGTATAAATAGATGAAAACCTTAAAACAATGTTTTAAATGATGGAAGTAATCTAATTACTTTACTAGTCTTATTTTCATTTCTTTTTCTGTGAAATGGGAATAATTCCTGTTATTTTATGACTTCATGAAGAGTTTTCTAACAAGCATTCTAAAAAGAAATAAACCAGTTTTTATCAGGACAAGTGAATGACTGACAATTTTTCAATTTACTTATCTGGGAAATCAAACATGACATTAGAAAATTCAATAAAATTTTTTCTATTAGAAGAAGATTAGAAATAGTCTCTGGGCACTTAGGTTTGATTTTTGTTGTTTATATATGTGTAATAGATTTTGATTATAGAAGCTTTAACATAATATTGTATACAATTTTACAATTTTACTGTAAAGCTAATAATCCTCTTGCTATTTTTTTGT